TATGCAGGGACGCTTGGCTCAATCTGGGAGGAGGGGACTGGACCTGCCTGGACTGAGTCTATCAGGTCGATCCCAGTCCTCGGGAGAGACCTTGATCTGGAGGGGGTGGGAATGGAGGGTGGGCTGGGGGGAAGGGGAAGGGGCAGGAAGGGAGAGAACAAGGGAATCTGTAGCTATTATGTAGAACTGAATAGTATTGTAAAATAAAATTAAAACAACAACAACAAAAAAGAAAAGAAAAGAAAAGAAAAGAAAAAGCCTTTGACAAAACCCAACAGCCCTTTATGATAAAGGTATTGGAGAGATCAGGGATATAAGGAGCATACCTAAACATAATAAAAGCAATATACAGCAAGCAGACAGCCAACATCAAACTAAATGGAGAGAAACTCAAAGTGATTTTACTAAAATCAGGAGCAAGACAAAGCTGCCCACTCTCTCCATATGTATTGAATATAGTACGTGAAGTTCTAGCTAGAGCAATAATACAAAAAGGGAGATCAAGGGGATAAAAATTGGAAAAGAAGAAGTTGGACTTCCACTTTTTGCAGATGATGTGATAGTATACATAAGTGACCCGAAAAATTCTAACCTGGAACTCCTACAGCTGATAAACACCTTTAGTAATCTGGCAGGATACAAGATTGACTCAAAAAAAAAAAAATCAGTAGCCCTCCTATACACAAATGGTAAATAGGCTGAGAAAGAAATCTGAGAAACAACACCCTTTACAATAGCCACATATAATATAAAATACCTTGGGGTAGCTCTAACTAAGCAAGCACTTTAAGTTCCTGAACTTTAAGTTCCTGAAGAAAGAAAGTGAAGAAGATATCAGAAAATGGAAAGATCTCCATGCTCATGGATAGGTAGGATTAACATAGTAAAAATGGCAATATTATCAAAAGCAATCTACGGATTCAATGCACAAGGACACTTGCTCAATTATGTACATAGCAGCATTAAACCTAATAGCCAGAACTTGGAAACAACCTAGATGCCCGTCAATGGAAGAATGGATAAAGAAAATGTGGTATATTTATACAATGGAGTATTACTCAGTGGTAAAAAATCAAAAACAGCATGAAATTATCTGGTAAATGGATGGAACTAGAAAAAACACATCCAGAGTGAGGTAACCCAGACCCAGAAAGACAAACATGGTATGTACTCACTCATAAGTGGATAGTGGATGTAAAGCAAAGGATAACCAGGTTACAATACACAGCCCTAGAGAAACTAGGTAACAAGAGGATACTAAAAGGGACGCATGGACTGCCCTAGGAAGGAGAAATAGATGAGAGCTCTGAGGTAAACTGGGGGCGGGGCGGAGGGGGCTAGAGGGAAGAGAATAGGTGAGGAGACCATGAGGGATTGAGATAGTGGAATTGGGGGAGGGACTGAGAGGGAGAACAGGAAAGAGATATTTTGATCTAGGGGGCCATTATGGGATTAGGGAGAAAACTGTTTCCAGGGAAACTCCCAGGAATCCACAAGGATGACCCCAGCTAAGATTCCTAGCAATAGTGGAAAGGGTACCTGAACTGGCCTTCTCCTGTAATCAGATTGGTGGCTACCCTAATTCTCATCATAGAACCTTCATCCAGTAACTGACAGAGGCAGATGCAGAAATCCATATCCAAGCAGTGGGTAGAGCTCTGAGAGTCCAGCTGAAGAGAGGGAGGAGGGCCTATATAAGCAAGGGGGGAAGGTCAAGATCATGACTGGGGAAACCAACAGAGACAGCTGACCCAAGCTCACGGGAGCTCACGGACTCTAGACCCAAAGCTAGGCAGCCTGCATGGGACCAACCTAGGCCCTATGCATGTGGGTGACAATTAAGTAGCTTGATCTGTTTGTGGGGCCCCTAGCAGTGGGACCAAGATCTCTCCCTGGCACATGAGTTGGCTTTTTGGAACCTATTCCCTATGGTAGGATGCCTTGTTCAGCCTTGATGCAGGGGTGAGGAGCTTGGTCCTGCTTCAACTTAATAAACCATGCTTTGTTGACTCCTGTGGGAGGCCTTACCCTTTCTGAGGAATGGATGTGGGGAGGTAGAAAGGAGATGGGGGAGGCAATGGAAGGAGAAGAGAGAGGGAAAACTGTTGGTATATAAAATAAGTAATTTTTTTAAAAGTAAAAAAAAAAGAAAATTAGTAAGATACATGAACAAGTGTTTCACCAGAGTTCCAAATGAATCACAAATAAACATATAGAATATTTCCAATGTCATTGCCTATTAAGGACTTGAAAATTATGAGTACCATGAAATCATCACACTAACAAAAATGATGGTATGAAACACATATTTGTGATTGCCAAAATAAAAATAAGGACAATACCAAATACCAAACAAGACACACAATTGCTGAATATCTCAGCACTGTCATGGGACTGTAAAATGGTAAGTTATCTTAACAAAAGTTTAATAGTTTCTAAATTCTGGAATTCTAAACATCTGCTATGTGGCACTACTTTTGTTCTTTTGGTTTGTTGTGCACAAGACTTACTCCACAGAAAAACACAAACAAAATGTCATAACATCCACTTGTAATGGCTTTCACCAACCCACATGCTGAATAATAGACTGGTGAAGCAAATGTTGAACAATGATAGTGTGGACTAGTACTTAAAAATAAAGATTGCACTATTGGTAAATGTAACGATTTGCATGAACTTCAATGAAATTTTGCAGATTCAATGAAAAAGGTTATTTCCAATATTTATATGTATTGCATAACTTCCATTTCATAATAGTATGAAAATGGCAAGATTATAGAGATGGGGAATAAATAAGTGATTAGCAGAACTTAGAGGTATAGATGGAGGGAGATAGTGTGTCTACTATGCATGGTAACAAGATAAGAGTTTGTATGGTATACAAGATCTGTGATGGATTTGTATGGTGCTTGTATATGAGTTTACTCTGTGAGAACCTCATGTACCATCCAAGTGTTGACACTGGTGTCATAGTGTGATTTACAGGATATTAACTATTATAGAGAACTGTAGGGTTATGGGAGCTCTCTGCAGTATTTTTGCAACTTCCTGTGAATCTATACACTTTCAAAATAAAAATAAAATTGGAAGAAGGAAAGATAGATCACGCTTTACTGCGATGTGAGATTCATCTGAGCAGTATATGAAGTTTCTGGAACAGAAGTCCACACCAAGTGAATGCCGGCCAAATGGCCAAGCTAGTACACAAACAAGATGCTATGCCCTTCAGTATTGTTTGGTTAATGAACTGGAATCTTCACTCTCTTATTTACTCATTCACTTTTTTCCCCCAGGCAACACTCAGACAGTTCAAACCCCTCACTACATTGCATTACATCACCAGAGATGAGTAGTGGCCTCAGGGTCTTGGGAGAGTCATGCTGGGCTCTGCTT